AGCTAAGCGATCCAGGGATTTCATTACATTGTAATCACGTGACCATTTGCATCGCCAGTATCGACAGGCGATGCTGGCGATATGTCGACAGCATCGACAGGCGATGTAGGCGACGGCGGAACATGAAGGTTCTATATAAGACTGGCACGTCTGCCATTAGATAGGAGCTTCGTGCTCAACTTAGTTATCAATCTTATCATATTTGTTTGACATCTTTGATACAAGTAACGAGTTCACTTCCAAGTGAACAACCCGATAGTCTTCTTCTTATCATAGCATACCAACCAGCGAACACCCAGCCAAGTTTAGTTAGCCAGTTTGAGTATTCGTTACATAATAATAAAACGGCTAATTCTCTTCTTTTTATTATATAATTAATATATTTTTAAGAGAGTATATAAATTAATATTAGGCTTATAGTATAGTATATTAAAGTAATTTTTTAGGTTATTTATTAACGTAGTTCTAAGTAAGCTGGGTAGATCCGACTAAGTTTTAGTATAGGATTAGTATATAAGATAGAAAAAGAATTATATAGAGATTTATATAAATCTTAAAACTAAAGAGTTAAGAAATTTAATTCTTTTATAAAGGTTTTTACGTAGTATAAATCTAAAAAGAATTATATTTACGATTTATAACAAATTTATAATTAGTATAAAAGAAACTTCTATAGCTATCTAAATAAGTATATATATCCTAAATTATATATAAATTAGATTTGTATATATATCTTTTTATATAGTATAAATCTCTAAATTAGGCGAGCTAAACAGGCCCTAAAATACCTTAATCAAATTATTTGATAGATTGAATTTCCAAATCGGTCAAACTCTTTAAGTCCCTAACCTTTTGAATTGGTCAAACAACTTTGACCAGTCATAATTTTCAATGGGTCAGGGTCAAAACCCACACACATTATGGAATCGCATCTTATGCAGAGCAGACATGGCTTGGGAACTCCATATTGAGATCCTTTTCAGTCTGGATATTTACCGGCCACTCCTTGTTGTGGTCTGCACGAAAACGGGTCAAGAATTGAGGCTCAAAGACTTGGAAAGTGGGTTTATATGGGTCGGATAATTTTCCAGATTGTTCCATGAGAAAAGTGAGCGAAAATCATGGGCTGATGGATCTGAAATCTGGAAATAATCATACGAGAAACAGGTATTCAATCGATCTGAAGTAAATATGATGTCGATACAAATATCAGTACCCCTCATATCATATCGAGGCTCGCAGTCCACCAAGATATTATCGATTTAATTTGATACATCGAAGACTATCGATTCGTTTACTGCCAACAGTTCATCGAGATTCCATTAGCTGGATCGACTGCATCCATGCCCAAGGCTGAAAAATGTGTCATTGTGCATTTTTTGCATCAAATTTCCTTGGGATTCTGGCTAATTACAGGCACTCGTTTGAACGCGTGGATCATGAGGCCGGCGATAACTTATCACGATTCTCAGACATGGAATTGTAGGAGAGAAGTGGGTTATAAGATGTTTCACGTGGTGGTTACTCGTACTGTAGGTCGGCCTTAGGTTCTGCAGGAAGTTTCCGTATCACGAAGCTCAATGCACCATATCGAATAGCGCGCGCTACAAGCTTCCGAATAGAATGTCGATGAGTGAAGCAAGAGTAACAGGTCTTGTAATTATTATTGGTGTTCACATACTGGATAATGTTTGTGATGATGTTTTCATTCATTCATTTTTTCACATTTTCGCCGCTGGACGTTGGGATTATGAAACGCCAAGCGAAGATATAGGGGGTTGCCCCGCTAGTCTTGTTTTAGAGTTTGCCTCATCTCGAGCCACTCCGGCAGTGGCTGAATTAATCCTTCATCTTCAGATGGCAGCTGGAATTGGCGTTAGGGCTGCGTCAAGTACAACTGACGGCTTTTGTGTTATTCTACTTTTCTATACAGATCAATTCTTTTACCTGACGCTTTTCGATAAGTAATCTCCGTTTCAACTTTTAAAATGTCAAAGCATATGCATGGTTCTAGAAACATGGAAATTGGAATACGAAAGAGTTGTTTACTGCCGCTTTGAGTGTCAACTGCGCAGTGCGAGCGCCTACTGTATCTTGGGTTTTATCGAAATTGTAAACACCCATTGGTCGAATGGATCTAATTTAGAAGACCTGCCGTCGATCTTACTGCACAGTACAAGGGTTTGCCTCTTGCAACGTTTCCCCAAGGCTTGATCTACAAGAAAAAGTTGCTCGGACTCTCATGGGGGGGTTTGCATGCAGGTACATATGGCGTTGTGGCCCCACGATCATTCGATCTTGAAAGAATCAGGGCTGGCACCGTATTTCACATTCATTTGATGCCATTTTCTCATTTCTTTCATAACGGAGTTACTCAATCATGGATATCTCCGCGCCTCTTCAAACGTCTTACTTGCAGACAACTGTTTACAATCCCAGCTATAATCCACAAAGACAGCCTGGGCTTCCAACTTCCCGACTACCAAACGGTCACAAGAAGGAGAAGGAAAGTAAGACTTCGCCAATTCGAACTTTCACTCCCGTTGACTGGGAGTCATATAAGGCGAAATGTCACGAAGATCGACTTTCCGTTTCTTCATTCGAGGTTGATGAATGGCAACCAGTCACTCAACTCACATACTCGGGACCATTCAATCGTTTCTATCGAATGGCAACCGTTTACCCAACTGGAGATATGGGATGGAGAGTCGCAACAACCTTGACGTTCACCCAAACTTGTTTCGCCATCAACTCGCTATTTAATTTGACTTCTCTCACACAACCACAAGGCGTATTTGAAGGAGAAAAGGAGCTCGTAATACCGATAACCCTCGCCATACCGATGCTTACACTACCTTTGGGAATTTTCCTAGGTCTAGTAGCCGCTTTTAATGTCGATCGAGGGGATATCGAGGAGTGGGAAAAGAAGAAGCAGAAGTTGGGTTTCAGCGTTACGGCAAGGTACAAGCCCGCCTTCGTTGGCAGCTCCAACTTTGTATGGTTTCCGGCAATGGAGCAATTAAAAAAAGTCTACCTCCCAAATACCGCTTTCCAGGCCGGCTTGTTTCAACTTCTCGCGGCTCTCACATTCTTGATTTCCAGTATCGCCCAACTGCCAAATGTCTTCCCGGCGGGCCAGATACCGGCAGCCGTTACCGGTGTTCCACTTTTTCTTGGTGGCTCGTTCTTCTTTGGCGCTGCTATCGTGCTACAACAGCGTCTACAGGCAAAATGGTACATTCCCAAGTTCGAGCGACTGCATTGGTGGACACCCTGGTTCGGTATGATGGGTGGATTCTGGTTCATGCTCGTTGGTATATCTACCTTGGCTTCGCCTGCCAACCGACTGCCCGTTCTGGTCTTCACTACTTTCGCCCGATTTTCCTTCTTGACGGCGGCTTTTTTGGGTTGGTTCATGTTGATGGAGTTTTATCCGGATTAAACAATAACCCAAATCCACATCTTCGGTTCGAGTGTTGGCATTTTAAGTCGCAGGGTCTCGGCTTTTCCTTATGTACAACAAAAAAATACACAACAAATTAGATTGATATTTTCTCACGTTAGCACCGTGCACTTTTAGACAGCTAGTTGAGGTTTGCAGGCTGCTTTAGACTTTCGTTTCTTCCATATAATGGGGGTATTGGACGGTTTTTAGGGCGATAGACATGCTGAATTTGGCATGGGAAGGCAGAAACAGGAAGTGCTCCATTAGCCATATCATGTCAAGGATATTCCCCTTGTCCTAAATGTCTCTTTCCCTGTCTTCTTTTCTCTTTTTGGTTTATCCGGTATTTCCCCATAGATTTCTCATCCCCCATCCACCCTGGTGCACTCTATCGACCTCGCTTAATTTCAGTCCACACCAAATTGTATATAAATTTGTCAACCATCCATCCGTCAAGGAAGGATCACTATCGATACTTGATTTCCCTCAGTATGTCACCAACCCCCAATGAAGCTCTGTCTATAGAAAGCCCTTGTAACCATGCTGACACACCGAATGAATGAGGAAATAGATTGCAGAAAGGACGTATTCCGAGATGAACATTGAACCAATTCTTAGACGGTGGAGCCTTGTTTTTACAAAGTAAAGGTTTTCGATAATTTTAATGTCTTCTCAGATATACCCAGAGAAATAATGGTCACTCAGGTAAGATACCCGGTCGTTACTCTGTACACACTATATAAAACGGCATTATACTAAACCTGTAGTACAAGTAAGCTAATTATAGTATTATACCTAGGCAAATAAGAAGTACCCAGTAATAATTATTCTAAACTCTTTCTATAATTGTTTGAGTTGTACGACGCTTTTAGAATAATTTTATTCTAAGAGAGGTGTGTACAGAGCAACGACCACGTCTCTTACCTGTGATGTATTTAGTAATTATGACTTCCCAAAGAAAAATAAAGAAATGAAAAAATGGATTCCAGGCAAATAAGTTGTAGGTCTCGAGGAGATTTGATACGGTAATACCAAAGTCGGCGAATGGTTTATACACTATTACCTGGCTTTGTAACTTGAGGTTTCACTGCCTCTATCAGGCAAAGATTGTCCATTACGTTATAGTGCCTGGTGGTCTCCGATGATGTGTCTGATCTGATCTGATCAAGATAGGTGAGCAAATCTTGATATTCCGCCCACAGTAGGGTACGGCATGATCAAGGTTTGTTTATGTTTAGCCTAGTGATGAATTCTGTTGTCAAAGAATGGACTTTTATCACGCCTGACTGCTCATACAGTCGGGCGCCACTGCTACTACATAAAACCTTAACCCCCACTAAAACCGCCCCTTTTGCCTACTTTAGAATAATATCTATCTAATCCTCCTGTTAGCAGTTTTCTCTATAACTAAAAATCCTGGTCAATAGCGACCTTATCTAACTTTCGATAGAATGCGCTCTACTAATAAGCAAAATTCGTTATGTAAGGTTAGTACTTGTGAGGTAGCTGTTCTTCTAGACTAGTTTCTGGTGATTTTCGGTATAAAAAGTGCACTTCGCGATCTTACTCAACTTCCTTACCTAATAACTTTATAGCTTTAGATATGCTAAACAAAATAAGTAGATGAGATTAATCATAATCATCTAATTTTTAATTGTACAAACGTATATAAAATTTAGAGTGTGGAAGAGTAGAAATAACGTGAAGTGTTCACCTTGAATTTAGGTGGTGTTTTAGGGTTTATGCAGTAGCAGTGGTATGGTACTGTATATTCCACTGTTCTATGCGAGCCATACTTTTGGCAGAAAAATGGGGGTCGACAGGGGGTTTGTTAGCTGCTTCTCCAGGATATAAGCACAGCTGATCTGCTGATTGTCATGAAAGCTGCTATATTTACCGGGAGCTTTCGACCACCTTATAAAAACAGGGTCTTCCTCTTTTCGACCTACTCGCAACAATACCTCCGTAACGGAGATACACATAGCGCGTCTTGATATTTTGAGAGCCTTCGGCCATTGCTGGCGTACGAAAAATTTATCAGAGTAGCATGGTTGCCAATCCTACAATTGTTGTAGGAAAATACCACACGGGGGGAATTAAAGTCTCAAATTATCCCCACGTTATCTGAATAACTTTTGAGAATTCACTATTATCTACTGCCTAGAAAGTTTTAGCATCGGCAATCTTTGCGTTAGGAAAATAAAGTAATGTTTTGCAAGAGTCTGTGTACTAATAGTCGGTTTACCCTTTCTCCAAGGCTCTGCCAGCAAATCGACCTGCGTATGGTGTTGAATTTCGTCAACTTGAGAAACTTGAGAATATAGTGAAGGCAGTGATTTCTCTCCATTTACATGCGTTTTCCCGCAATAGTGAAAAGTAGCTTGCTATGAGAAACTCTGACTTCATAGACTGCGGGATCTTTGACCAAGAGGAACAGGAAGTGTAAGTTTCAAGCTACCTATTATATAATAGAGAACACTACCTAGATTTCACAGTATTCGGAGATGTTATGCGAACCAATACTTCGAAATTATTAGGGCTCACACACAAACTGGCTTGATCAGGCTGCCGACAATCATTATCCTGTGGCATAAAATTAGGCTGCCGACCTCGAGGGGCCGATCAGGAGCTTAATTAAACCTTCACAGTGAAGAGTAGAAATGCATATGCTAGCCAGTGAGAGGACTCTGGTAGACCACGTGGCGCACTATCGATCCTAAAATACAGTTTATATTCCCTAATTAAGGAATGTAATGTCAACCAACAACGAGCGGCTTTGACGTAGCTCATATAATTGTTGGCCAGCCATAAAAAAACAGGTAATGCTGTGTTGAACCCGAGTGGCTTGCCCCTTCCTATAAATCCGTAGTGGGAGTTGGTTCAGATTTTTTGCTGTTTTAAATTTTAGAACTTACGCTATCTAGGTACAATCGGTACTTTTTGTTTTTAGAATTGCAAGCGGCAGTAGAAGTGAAGTTGGAGAAATATCGATGCTTGGCGGCCACTGTATTCTGCTATTGCATGTAGATTCGAGGAACCCTATGAAGTTATGGTATAAGTTGTTGGAAATGAGGCGAACTAGTCCCAAGGTGGCTAGACTGGAGCTCGGACTATAAGCTAGCATGTATGTACCTATCTATACGCACCATAGGTCAGTTTTAAGTATGATACTCTTCTGCCCCGTTCCATTACTTAATCGCCGCATTGCATTTAGCCTGAAATGGAAAGCCACAATAGATGATATTGACTTCATCACCGAAACGCAGATCTCAGCCTATCCAGATGACCCGCAATAAAATTGTCGCTCTCCCGAACGTGAAGATTTCCCAGAAGACACTTATCACTTCACCGAGACACTTTTCCGGTTATTCTCATGGAAGCATCCGACTCATTTAGTGTCATGGCCGCCTGATCAAAGAGAAATGAAGATCCTGACGTGATAGGGCCCGTTTCTCATGTTCTATGGTCTACCGTAAAAACAACATCACAATCCAATTAGAATTCATTGGATATCCCCTGCACCAGGCTAAATCGTATGTGAAGACTTGCTAAACCACCTGGAAAGCCCCTGATTGGTCTCTCAAAAAGAGAGTGATTGGTGAAGAAAGCAAAAGGCGAGACGCGAACCCCGAGCCTATGAAAGCCTTTAGCGAGGCCTCGAGAAGGCGAGGAAGATATGATTTGATGTTTATGGCTCGATGCAAATCCACATGATGATTGGGGAACCCACCCAGATTATCGAAACAGGGGCGTGGACTTGGGTTCACGGCATGATCTGGCTGCAACTGTCTTTGGGAGCCCTATGAGAGAAAGTTCGTACACATTTGTAGGCTTTAAGTTATTGGGCTAGGTGATAGTGAGCGAAAATCGAAGATAAAAAGTCAAAATTACAGCCATGTCATTTCATTTGAGCATTCGATCGAGAAGTAGAAACTCTCATTCATACTACTCAGTAATAGATCATCATCAGCGAGTTGGTGTAAGATAGCTGGTCATTACTCTGTACACACTATATAAGGAGTTATTATACTAAACTTCTAGTACAATTAAAACAATCTTATTATTATATCTAGGCCTATTAAATGTAAGCAGCAACAATTGTTCTAAACGAATTCTTGAACTATTTTAGTTATACGACGCTTTTAGAACAATTTTGTTCTAAGAGAGGTGTGTACAGAGTAACGACCACGTCTCTTACCACTTTCTTTTGTTTTGAATACGTGCACCTTTCTAAGATTCCATATTGTGAAGCGTAGAAGAGGCCGTAGCCAAAGACATGGCAAACCGCCTCACATTGCCGACGGCTCAGTTGCATCGATATTGTATAGAGCTCATGGAGAACGACCAAATCCAGTAAAGCAACTTGTCTTGTTTTCGAGGCAGAGAGACAGTCTCACTGCCTGGTTTTCCATCCGTCTGTGATTATTTCCCGATCAAGAAATAAAATCTCTCTTTCGTGTTGAAGAGTACTTGCTTAGAAGTCAAAAGTACCATTTTATAAATCAGTACTGATATTTGAAGCTAAAAAAATCGTCCTTCGACTAAACATTGCAAGTCAACCGAAGAGCTGCCCAGTTAGTCTTGATTCACAGAAACGTTGACCAGTCTTCCTATTGAGGCGCTGAGTACGGAAACCAGCCGAGTATCATCAGACCTCCTACTTTGGAAATTGCAGTGGTTGATTTTGGGCCTAAGACTGAACACCTGGAACAAGAGTACATACTGACCAAGTCAAGCCAATCCAAGAAAACCCTAAAAGTCACGGGATGATACTCACTCTAGCGAGCCATGAATCTTTTTTTGAATCAAATAAGGCCTCGTTTGTTTTGAGCTAGGAAGACCTATACAGGAAACAAAGAGCACGATACTGTACCACCTTTGACAGAAAGTAAAAATTCGGCCTTGAAATGGTTATTAGCTAGTCTGCTGAAGAAATTTGATATAGACGTATTTACGCTATGATCGTATTAACCCTCTTTGGTCTTGAGAAATACTGATTTGGTAGATGTAAAAATTGTTTGCCAAGTGTGATTAACAAGAAGACAGAAAGTGTATATCAGACAATCAGGTTTCAAGCAAGTAATTTCAAGTCATTTAACCCATTTCCTGCGTTTTCTTAGTCAAGAGTGGGTTGCTGATTAGTAATATAATCCACGGCAGTGCTAGTGTTGCTGGCATTCTTGTAAGTGTCCTTCATAATGGGACCTGAAAGAGCTAAGATCAATAGGATAGCGGTAAGAATCAGATGTAGACACACCAGAAATGGTTGTGAACTTGGGGGGATATCCCCAGGCACATCAAAGATGATCATATGAAATGCCTTACGAGCTGTGACACTTGACTGCTGGCTTTTTACAACGAAAACATGGCAGCTCTATTCAGTGTTATTAGATGCGAATAGAACAAAAGGGAGAGCAATAGACCACTTATCTTAACTGACTTTTGATTGATCGAGAATAATAAAGTGGGTGGGCTAGCAAGGAAGTCTTAAGCGAGCGAAAATACGTCCATTTTTCAACGTTTGCTAAAAACCCCAAAATTATAACACAACCCATGAAGAGTTCTTGCCTAATTACTTAAGATACTAGTTGTTACCGCCGTGTACATTGGAACAACATACGAGAAATTAGAATCAGAGACATGCTATTCCATTCAAAATATAACGTGGAGAGGCCTTCAGTGTGGTAAGGTACCAAAATTACAATTGAGTATTCAGTAAAACAAAACAACAAAGAACCTCACAGTGCTGGATGATGTCTCGATTGGTTATTGATACATCTCCTAGCTCTCTATCTTTACTCGGTATTTTGAGGTAGGATTCAACAAAATCTGCTCTGTTGGGTTTGGCAATACGAGCCATAGTGCGATTTCTTAGGTAATCCATGTGAGTCGTAGAAACCTTCAAACCTTAAATTCGATCATATTTGATATGATATAGGTCGTTCAAGTAAGGATCTGGTTCGATTCGGCGATACCGATCAAAAGTCAGTTTTCCAATCTACAAACCTTGATCCGCTGAATCCAACACGGTAATACCCAGCCCTAATTACACCACCAAGACTTTTACGGGCAAGTTACTGACCTTACAGGGACAAATGTCACATTATCTTTTTGTTGAATCTTGAGTAATTTTCCAACATCCTCCGTTTTCGGCTAGTGAGATTGCGGCATTTTGAGATTTTTGTAGTCAAATAGCTAAGGAAGTTTATTTGTAAAGTCAGCTACCTAGACGGATAGGTATTGCTTGATTACTTGGAGAATTTTGCAAGCACTCATAATGTAATATAGCGGAACTAGCGGATCTCAACGGAATTTCTTGCTCCAACACAGGAAGAATCCGTTCACTTGAGTTAATATTTTTCCCGCTGCAAACCTTGTTATAAAATCATAATATCTACCAGTGTTCGTATCTTAGGATTTCACAGGTCAAGAAATACCAAGTAACCTTACATACATTAAGGAACACGGTCTCTCAAGAATCGGAATTATTGTCGAGTATCTAAAGTCCGTTTTTGAAACTTTTCGATCATTTCGTTGGGAGAGGATTAAGCGAGAAGTACTACACTTTCATGCGCCAACACCAAATTAGAAAACAAATTCGGCTCCCTGGTACTCGGTACCTACCAGTGCCACAGCCGAGAGGCGTCGCTAATCCTCCTGCCGCAAGACGGAGTGGTGTTTCTCGAAGTTTTACCAAATAGGAAGTACTATTTTTCACTCGGTTTAGTTGACTAGAAACCTATCTGTCTAATTATGCTTGAGCTTTATTTTCGGCTCATTTCGCTCCTCTGCCCATGATGATCTATCGATCAGGAACTCATCAGCAATTCATGCTCTCAGCCCTTGCCTTACAGGTATCTCCTCTAGCGCTACCATAAATATCATCCCTACTCAAACATCGAATATCTCCGAAACATATTCCCGCGATCCTTCCGTCAGCGAAAAGAAAGAATCCCTCCCGAGTCGGACCCATCCGTACCCAATACAACTACCTGCATCGAACATCTCTCCTGCACCCATTTAACTACCGGTAGATACCCAAACAGCACTTCCTTTTTGTTTTTTTCAGCCGGCAGGACCAGAGATTGGGTACCTGTCTCAACATGAACCCTACCAAGCCACATACTCCCAAATCAGGTCATATTTCTATCAGATCTTGGTAAAGTTGAAAGAATTGAACGCCTTTCAGCCTCATCGGTCGATCCTCAAGTCATCAGAAGCAGTCCCAACCACATCATTACGCAGCCTTGCCTGTTGATCCCTTCGACGACATTTCCTATTATGGCTGTTGATATGCCGGATTCTGATATCCACCCAGGCACAAGGGACTCGGAACCAAAACGTACGCAGCCTCAGCGTCGATCCCTTCTCACCTCCGCAATATGGCAGCCCCCGCTGCCGATCATCTGCGTTGACTAGAAGAGTGAAGAAGAAAATATTAGGGACGCTAGCTACCAGTATATTCCTTCAGCCACAGCTCCAGCAAACCACAACATATGTAGCCTTATCGTCGATCTTCGTCTATTTTGTCCGCGCTTAGCCACAGCCCTACAACCTACCATTATCACGACGAGATATCAAAAGCCTCATTAAAATGACCCTAGAATCAAGCTTTCCCAGAAATTCGAATTTACGCAGAATACCAGCCGCCCCTCCTTTTCCCCTCGCTAAACAAATTTACGTGTCATTCGCCAAGGCCTTGTCACTGATTCTCCACCAATTGAAATTGCTGGATTGCAAGGGCAGGAGAATATCACACCCTGACATCGCATCGCATTTCCCTATTAAGAAAGATGAAATGTCACGACCGCAACTTTTGACCCCCTGCTAAACAAACAACTTCAATTTCCAACAGATTTATCAAACCTAAAGTTGTGCGACTCTACCTTCCGAAAACAGACAGTAATTGCACACGGAAAAGGTAAGAGACGAAGTCGTCAAGGGGGATTCCACAATACTAGGAATCCCACCTATCAAAGCCAGAAAATCACGTTTTCAGCCAGAAACAAGAGAATCAGAAAAGAAGAAACAAAACTTCAAAGACTGATGCAACAATAGAGCACGATATTTCACTGCTGAATGTGTAAAGGATTGCATGCCCTGCTTTCCCAGAAGAGCACATTGTAAGTCCCAAAAGCAAAATCGTAGGTCACGCGTTTTCAGCCTTACCCCAAGAATCCCAATTGCAAAAGAATCCCAAGAAATACCTCCATACCCTCCCCGCATGATCCTCCTCCTCGGAAACCGGGTAGTGGAGCGGGCCAAACTCGGTCCCTCTCAGAAAACATCCAGGAAGATTAAAACGCAAAACCTCAACCCCAAAGCGCAAAAGATAGAACTGAACACCGCGCTCGGACAGAGCCAAGAAGATCCGAGTGAGACAATTTTCCGCTCGGGATACTCGATTCCATGGCGTGCGGACGAAGTGTTGAAAGAAGAAATAAAGGACGACATACCTGTGGATACCGCAGATCGCAAGAAACCCAACACGAGAAATTGAGCCCCCGACTTTAAAACAGAACTTTACATTTCAGTTGATCTAAGCGAAATCATTCCCACTTGCCCACCAGCCCTAAAAGGCCTCCTGTTCTTCCAAAACCTCCCCACTATCTCGCCACCCTTCCGTCCCCCCACCCCTCCATCCTCTCTGTCCACCAGCAAAATTCTAATGTGCAAACACCCCCTTCCCCAAAAAGAAATAGAAAGAAGAGAAAACAAATATACAGTATCAAGTACAATCCGAGCAGCAAGATCTGCTTTCCAAGTTAATATCCCCATCCCCAATAACCTGGGGGGTACCATTTATCCATCCATCATCCCCAAGCAAACCCAGAAGCACTCCATAAGCCCCCACCCAGCAAAGCCACCCAAAACAAGATGCTTGTGAAAGCGATCGCTCTTTAGAACTTTTTCTTTCCCACATCAAAACATTTCATCTCCATCGCACCATTCCCTTGAGATGAAGATGCTCCCAACCATGGCTCCATTGTGATTGAAAAAACACACCCTTCATACAATGCCATGCAACCAGATGCTCCCGGACCCACAACGAAACAAATTCCCGCCAACACCATGATGGAAACGCTGTATAAATAAAAAAGACAATAAAACGAAGATGGGATTCAAAGTCGCAGGAAGGCGTCGTGGTATAAGTAAAAGGAAAACAATAAAACAGTACACAGATACAGCCCATAATGAACAGTCGAGGTTGAGAGCAATTAAGGTGGAGCACGTCCTTGTGATGCACCGCCTTCCATCGTTTCTTGTAAATCAAGGCACTCCTCCAAAACTGTAGTATTTTGGTTAGCAAAGTCCTTTCGGCAATAGATGGTCAATACCTACTAGAAATGATTTGCTCTTCCCCCACTCCGTATTGGTAATCGACCAGGCCGTGTTTTTCAACTGCATCGCACATGCGAATCAGATCCTTGGCCATCTTTTGGATGAATTCTGTCGTCATCAGATTTTGAGGAGGCTGAATTCGGTGACCCGATTCAAGCATGTCCTTCTGCTTCATGAAAATGCCGAGCCATGCCGTGTTGAATTCACCCCAGAGACGGATTCTGTCGCTATGGAGCGTCACTTCGTCTACAGTAAGGCCTTGATCAGAAAAGGATTAGTGGAGAGGATCTAACAGAAGAAAAGAGATGCGTACCTAGATCGCCGACGTGACCCAGCAGCCATTCCGACACTTCGAGGAGGGATTGGCCGGCCGTCGCAAGTCGCCCATGGATGATGTTCTGGAAGATCTCCTTGAGCGCCGTCTGGTACGCGGTGTAGGCTGCCTCCATTCCGGGGCCTTGTGCCTGGAACTCGTCTTCAATGATATCTGGTGCGCCTTGAGCCATGCCCATTGCCATGCCAGTTGAATAGCCACCCGGTTGAAGCATGGGCGCGCGGTCGCCTGGGCTCTGTTGATGCTGTTGATAGACGGCCGATGAGCCTGATGAGGCATGGTGTTGCAAGCCTGGAGCACCTGGCGCACTGGTTGGCTCGCCTGCAAAGTATGGTGTTGTCACGTCCAACGAGCCCATCGGTAATGCGGCCTGCCGTGCTTGGAACTGCTGGGAAGAGTCAAAGACGGCGCTTTGCGGTGTTTGCTGTCCCACATTGTACATGTTGAGGTCGGCATTGTAAGCCGTGAAGCCCTGCTGCTGCTGTTGTTGCTGCTGCTGACGCTGGTCTTGATAGCCCGAGGGGTATTGCATGGTGCTCGCAGGCAAGGCGGCGCCAAAGGATGATTGCGGTTCTGTGTTGTAGTAACCCGAGTAGCTCGCTCCTGCCCCCGAGCCTCGTCCAGCAGATGGGGATGTCGTCAAGGGACCACCAGAAGTGCGATAGCGGTCGGCCGATGCTCCCGCAAATCCTCCTGGACGGCCTTGACTAGAGGCATTCTGATTGAAGCGAGGATCGGAACCTTGGTAGGGCGATTCATTCTGCCTACGTCGCCGACTGTTCTCGTCCATGCCACGTTCCACGCCCGCCGCCGACGAGCCTCGCGCCAACGATTCGAAGGGATGCGCCGTCGCCGTCAAAGGGACTGGCGTCGCGTGTAGGAGTGCCAGTTTGACTGCTTTTCACGGGGGTGCCTGCTCGGCAAGGGCGATTTCTTCGAACCGGCCTGAGTGAATCTGATCCGGTGTGAGTAACGACGCGAGCCGGGCGAGGCCAGATATATGATGTTGCGACGGTCGACTTGCGCGCTGGTTGAGCCTCTTGCGTGGTGCAGAATCAGAATTTTCTTAGGGCGAAAAGGATAGGGATAGCGCCGTTTCCGCTGCGGTTGCCAGAGGAGGAGGTGGTGCCTTATGCGTCGCTACAGCACGAGAGCGACGGGAGCGATAGGGCTAACGCTACGACACGACACGACAGTGAGGATGGTCGGTCGCCTACGAGTGAATCGAGGAGGCAGAGGTTACTTGGGCTTGGGCTTGGGCTGTTGTATAGTTTTGCAGCACCTCAGGCGCAGGCGCGATGAAGACGTGTATTGGCTGGGTTGGGTTGTCAACACGCCCACCTCAATTTCACGCTGGGGCGATCCTAGGTTTCGCTTTGTGGTTGCGTCAAGCAATGACCTTGCGGGGTAATCTCCTAGTCGCTTCCAAGGAGACTACTTGTAGGGCGAATCGAAACCGGAGACTTAATGGCGAACCGGCCCTGTTCCGCTGACCTGTCCGTCTCCTCTCAACGACTGTGCTCACCCTGGGACTAGGGCAAGGTGTCTTATTTCAACGGCCTCGCATTCAATGCCACTCTCAACCACGTTACAAGTCTTCTAGAAGGCTTCAATCGACTCTACAGACCCGGTTTCAAGACCTCGCGACTTCTGAGCTGGAGGCGAGCCCGCGAAAGCTTGCACCACGAGCGCTCGGTGATCGAAGCGTCGGTTCAATGACCCTTCTCCACGTCCTGACCCTTTGGGATCCTTTGGGAAGTCTCGAAAGAGGTTTGGAGATGTCAGGCGCAAAGACCAAGTCGCATGGATCGAAAAATCTAGATCGGGGCAATCAATGGGCAAGCGACGATGCCCAATATCACTAAAAAAAGAAGCGCGAATGTCGAATATAGAGTTGAGAATTTGAGACGAGCACTTCTCGGCATCAAGCGTGCAAGCTGATAACGTTGATGGAGCCCGTGCGAAATCGAAAGAGGCCCAGAAATGGCGAGGAGACTACTCTAGCGCTTCGCACAGCACGGATGGGCTTAGTGAGCTATTATGGACTGCAGCTGTGAAGCTTGGAGAATGCTTGTCTGTTCGAGGTTTTGACGAGGCGCAAAGAAGGGTAAGCGAGTATGGATGAAAATGCTCTTCGTCCGCTCTCCCAAATTTTTCTTTGGTGTCTTTTCTGATTGGGCAACGAAAATGTCACACTACCGCCCAACCAAGACTAGTGATGTGTGTTCAACTACACTTGGGATTCTTTTCGCATTTTACTTCAATGCTGGGAAAGTAATGCGCGCAATAACGTGCGATGCCGCGGTCTTGGTGTGCACTGAGAATAGGCGATTTCGAATTGGTCGTCTTCATCCAATGATCAAATTCCAAGGCTGTTGCTGAATGGTAACGAACGGATGGCGCCGTGGTGATGGACGATCAACAAGATCTAGATGTAAGATTGACAGCACAACGGAAGATCTTTTTTCAAGTCAGGAGTCAGGGCCTTTAGTGAAATGACGCGTGAGGTGTGGGTACGACTCAAGACCCAGTACGGTATTTTGCTGTGATGGTGGAGAGCTTGGAATGGGATAGTCCTTGAAGAAGTTGCGAATGTGGACGAGTCTACCATGACCAGACTTAGTGACGGAGCATATGAAGGGCTTTTGATTGCTTGAATGATCTGGTCCTCGGGGAAATAATAATGCATGCAAATGCCGATTAGACGCAAGCCTCTCCGGGGGGGGGTTTTG